AAAGGGCAGCTAGGGACCGTAGTCTCAGGGGTTTCACCAGGCTCTATCAGACCAGCAAACATGGTCCCTTTTTATTATTGTTATTATTATGATGATTTTGAGTTTTGTTCCACATTGTTCTCCCACTCTATCCATGATCTCCTATACAGATACCCTTCCAAGTGGTTGACAGTTGTAGCTGGGCACCATCTAGTTCTTCTAATCTCATAGTCATATAAGCTGAACATTGCAAGGTGTACGAGTCCCTTGGACTAATTGTTTCCATGAGTCTTTGGTTTTCTTCATTCTTTGCTCTGGATGAGGAGAGACCCATCATTGCATCTAGATGACTGCTTGCAAGCAGAACAGGTAGGGCAGGCTGGGAAGCAGCTTTTGGAGGGCTGGAACAGGTAGGACAGGCTGGGAAGCTGCAGAAGCCAGGCTTTTGGAGGGCTAGAACAAATAGGACAGGTCAGGAAGAGGGATTGGAGAGGTTTGTAACAACTAAGGGAGACGAACTTGTCTGTCCCTTCGTCATATTGTGGTGGCTTGTGTGTTGCTGTGAGGCTGGAGGCTATGCCACTGGTGTTTCAAATGTCAACAGGGTTACCCATGGTGAACAAGTTTCAGCAGAACTTCCAGACTAAGACAGACTCAGAAGAAGAAAAAGACCATCCACTTCTCAAAGAATTGGCTGGTGAAAACAATATGAATAGCAGTGAAACACTGTCTGTTATATTATTGAAAAACGTTAGGAGTAGCCCTGAAACATTGTCTGATATAGGGCCAGAAGATGAGGCCCTCAAGTCAGAGACACTAAAAATAGGACTAGGAAAGAGCTGCCTCCTCAGAGTAGAGCCAACCTTAATGATGTGGGTGTAGTAAACTTTTGGGACCTCCGTTTGCTGATGTGGCATGACTGAAAGTGAAAAGAAACAGCTGCAAACATCCATTAATAATCGGAACATGGAATGTACAAAATTTGAATCTAGGAAAATTGGAAGTTGTTAAAAATGAAATGGAATGCATAAAGATTGATATCCTTGGCATTAGTGACCTGAAATGGACCAGTTTTGGCCATTTTGAATCAGACAACCATATGATTTACTATGCCAGGAATGATAAATTAAAGAGGAGTGGCATGGCATTCATCATCACAAAGAATGTTTCAAGATCTATCCTGAAGTACAATGCTGTCAGTGATAGGATAATATCCATACACCTACAAAGTAAGCCAGTTAATAAGACTATTATTAAAATTTAGACATCCACCAACCACCAAAGTCAAAGATGAGGAAATTAAAGATTTTTACCAACTTCTGCAGTCTGAAATTGACCAAACATGCAATCAAGATGTGTTGATTATCACTGGTGATTGGAATGCAAAAGTTGGAAACAAAGAGGAATCACTGGTAGTTGGAAAATTTGGCCTTGGTGATAGAAATAATGCTGAAGATCACATGATAAAATTTTGTAAGACCAACAACTTCTTCATTGCAAATACCTTTTATTCAACAACACAAACGACAGCTATACACATGGACTTAGCCAAATGGAGTACACAGGAATCAGATCAACTACATCTGTGGCAAGAGGTGATGGAGAAACTCAATATCTTCAGCCAAAATAGGACAAGAGCTGATGGTGGAACAGACCATAAACTGCTTATATGCAAGTTCAACTTGAAGACAATTAAAACAAGTCCCCAAGAGCCAAAATATGACCTTGATTATATCCCTCCTGAATTTAGAGACCATCTAAAGAATAGATTTGATGCATTGAACACCAATGAATAAAAATCAGAGGAATTGTGGAATGACATCAAGAACATCATCCATGAAGAGAGAAAAAGGTCATTAAAAGGACAGGAAAGGAAGAAAAGACCAAAATGGATGTCAGAAAAGACTGTGAAACTTGCCCTTGAATGGAGAGCAGCTAAAGAAAATGGAAGAAATGACAAGAAAAAAGAGCTGAACAGATTTCAAAGAAGAGCTTGAGAAGACAGAGTCAATTATTATGATGAAATGTGCAAAGACCTGGAGTTAGAAAACCAAAAAGGAAGAACATACTTGGCATTTTTCAAACTGAAAGAATTGAAGAAAAAATTTACCTTGAGTTGCAATATTGAAAGATTCTATGGGCAATACATTGAATGATGCAGGAAACATCAAAAGAAGATGGAAGGAATACACAGCAGTCACTCTGCCAAAAAGAATTGGTCAGTGTTCATCCTTTCAGGAGGTGGCATATGATCAAGAACTAATGGTATTGAACAAAGAAGTCAAAGCTTCACTGAAGGAATTGTTGAAAAACAAGGCTTCAGGAATTGACAGAATACCCATTGAGATGTTTCAACAAACAGATGTCATGCTCAAGGCACTCACTTGGGTATGCCAAAGGATTTGGAAGACTGTTACCTCTCCAAATTACTGGAAGAGATCCGTATTTGTACTGATTCTAAAGAAAGATAATCCCACAAAATGTGGAAATCATAAAATGATATAATTAATATGACACGTAAGTAAAATCTTACTGAAGATAATTCAAAAACTGTTGCAGCAGTATATTGACAGAGAACTTCCAGAAATGCAAGCTGGATTCAGAAGAGGATGTGGAATGAGGGATATCATTGCCGATGTCAGATGGATCTTGGCTCAAAGCAAAGAATACCAGAAAGACATTTACTTGTGCTTTGTTGATTATTCAAAAGCATTCAATTGTGTGGATCGTAACAAATTATGGATAACATTGAGAAGAATGGAATTCCATAACATGTAATTATACTCATGAGGAACGTGTACATAGATCAGGAGGCTGTCGTTTGAATAGAACAAGGGGACACTGCATGGTTTAAAATCAAGAAGGGAGTGTGTCAGGGTTGTATCCTTTAACCATACTTACTCAATTTGTATGCTGAGCAAATTATCCAAGAAGCTGGACCATAGAAGAAGAATGTGGCATCAGGATTGGAGGAAGACTCATTAACAACCTGTGATATGCAGATGACACAACTTTGGTTGCTGAAAGTGAGGATGAGTTGAAGCACTTACTGATGAAGATTAAAGACTTCAATGTGCAGTATGGATTACATCTCAACTAAAGAAAACAAAAATCCTCAAAAGTGGACCAATAAGCAGCATTATGAAAAATGGAGAAAAGATTGAAGTTGTCAAAACTTCATATTACTTAGTTCTACAATCAGCACCAGTGGAAGCAGCAGTCAAGATGATGTATTGCATTGGGCAAATCTGCTGCAAAGGACCTCTTTCAAGTGCTGAGGACCAAAGATAATCTTGAAGACTAAGAAGTGCCTGACCCAAGACATGGTATTTTATATCACTTTATATGCATATGAGAACTGGACAATGAGTAAAGAAGACCGAAGAAAAGTTGATGCTTTTGAGTTGTGGTGCTGGTGAAGAATGCTGAAAGTATCATGGACCGCCAGAAGAACTAACAAATCTGTCCTGAAGAAGTGCAGCTGGAATGCTCCTTGGAAGAGAGAATGGACAGATTTTGTCTCACCTACTTTGGTCATGTTGTCAGAAGTTACCATTCCCTGGAGAAGTATATCATGGTTGGTAAAGTGAAGGATCAACAGAAAAGGGGAAGCCCCTCAACAAGATGGATTGACACAGTGATTGCAATGATGGGCTAGCCATAGCAGGGATTGTGAAGAGTTTGCAGGGCTGGGCAGTGTTTCATTCTGTTGTACGTAGGGTCGCTATGAGTCAGAGATGACTTGAAAGCACCTAACAACAACAACAAGCTTTTAAGATCCCAGTCACTACTCACCAAAGTAGGATATAGAACAGTGTTTTTGTGTAGTATGTTATGCCAATTGAGCTTGATGTCCCCTGCAACCATGGGCACAAACCCATAGGCCCAACTACTTGCTCCCTAGGACAGAGTATTTTATATCCCTGCCCCATGAGGTTTCGTAGGCTGTAATCTTTAGGGGAGCAGATTACCAGGTCTCTTCTCCCGTGGAGCAGCTGGTGGCTTTGAAACACTGATTTTTCAGATAGTAGCTGAGTGCTTAACCACTGGGCCAACAGGGCTCCCTGGGTTGGATTTGGCAGACCAGCCATGTCATTCTGAGGGAACAGTGGTTACTCAGATCCAGCCAATTATTGCCAGGTAGGAATTTGTGTTCAGTATTACCACATTTTTCAATTTTCAAAAGAAGCCAGAAATTTAGGCTTTTATGTAAAACTTTCTGGTCTTTTAATATGGTACTCAATTTAATTAAAACAAAAATCAAGACCCTGTGGTACTGAACAGATTCTGGAAGGTAGTTTACAGCTTTAGAGCAATGGTTCTGACTCTCTGGTGTGCATCAGAATTGTGGTCTTTTCTTTTTTTCTTTTTATATAATGTGATACACTTATTTAAAAAGGAGGATGGGACATATATATTGTTCGTATGTATAGAATATCTCTGGAAGGCTATATAAGAAGTTAATAACATTGGTTGTTTTGTGTGAGGAGCATTGAGTCACTGGGAGAGGAGGCAGGAGGGAGAACTGCCATGTAACCCTTTGGTATGTGTTGAGACTTAAACCATAAGTGTGCAAATGCTTTCTAAATATATACATACAAAGCATAACCATTTCTATCCCTTTCTCACCAAGATTTTGATTCAATAGGTTCGAATATCTGAAGGAATCAGTCCTTCATAGGTGTGTTTGCCATACAGCCCTGGTTAAGTATCCATGCTGCTGGGAATAGTATTATTCTTAGTCAATTCTGCTGGACACCACATATATTTGGTGGGAAATGAGGATGCACACACTTTTCCTTGAGGATTGCTCTTAGGATAGAAGAGCAGAATGTTACCAGTCTGGACACCTGAACCCAGGTGTATACTAGGGAAAGATGGTCCTTTTCGCCCATTTTATTCTGGCCCTTCCCTCTGGGGTAATGTGGCTTATTGTCACTCCAGATCTAACCTGGACCTGTATGCAATACTTCCTGTATACAGTTCATCAGTAATGAAGACAAAGGAAGCAAGGACATTACCTGAGGAAGGATTATGTAGATGAGGAAGATGTACCAGTCCTGAGGCCTCCTGGTGACCAGATCTGCCGGTGAGCAGTCTGTCTTGTAACTTATCAGAAGAAAACATAGTCCAAGGTTTGTAGGAGAATACCTGATGAGAATCACCCTTCCAGGGGTTCTCTAGCAATGTCTGGCAGCTAGTTCTGTTATTTAATAAATCCTGCTCGCTTCTACTTTTCTGAGATCTCTGGGCCATATGATTAGGACCAGAGCTTAGCCCAACATGGGAAGTAGCCCCATGGGAGGCTGTCAGGAAGTTATTGCCCAAGGTGATGGGTGGGAGACTTTGTGTTCTGATTGGTGGAAGGCCCCTATGGGCCAGAGGCTTCTTTTCTGGCAAGAGATATTTTGAATTCTCTGAGGTCCTCTTCTTAAATTCAACCATAGCCACCTGGTCATCAGGCTGTTCTTGGCAGTTGGTATCCCCAATGCTGTCAAAGGTGGTGATGATGTCATCAACTTCCGAGGTGTCCTCCCCCCTGTATTGGTCCCTGCTGTGAGCCTTCTGATAGGCCATCTGTTGTTCTTTCTTATTTTTGCAGAAGATTTGGTTGAGCTTGTTGAACCGTCCCTCTTTCTTCTGGGGTCTACTGTTCTGGAAAGGAAGGGGTTGAGTAGGCTCTGTTCTATAGGAATATAAAATAACAATGGTGTTATGTGAAGATAGAAAGTGGAGACAACATCACTAACCAACATACAATACCCTATTCCATCTGCTTGAGCTGGTTGTCTGAAATAATTGTGAAAGGTGATGCACAAGAGCTCTCAACATCCTTTTGTAACTTCCTGTCAGAAGTGTTTCCTTAGTATGCTTAGTATGGGCAATCAGAACATTCCTTAGATTTCTCTTATTCCCCCAGGGGTCATCTTTCCAAAATTCACTTTTAGATTATTTGTTTTCACCAAAGAATAAACTGAACTAAAAACAGCTTGCAATGTTACTGTTTTCACTTTTTAAGAGTAAGTCAGTAGGTGTTTAAGCCTTAAGTCAAAGATATAAAAGCCAAGGATTGAGTTCACTTTCAACTAAAGGAACGAAAGTATTGGTTGCAGCAGTGGGGAGAGTGTGGTTTTAGGCCTGCTCTGAGGGTATCTGGGCACTGATATTATTCATCTCAGAAACAGTGTCCATTTTATGCTGTTTCTGTGTTCTTTGTTTCCCTTTCAGTTCTTATTAAATTTCCTGTTGAAAAATACTTTTTTTTTTTTTTTTTCAGTGTATCCTAAAGGAAACCAAGGAAAGAAGCTTTGTTCTGGGCTCCAGCTGGACAGAAAGAGGAAATGAGTATGCCAGAAGTTGGGTGTGGTTTCAGAAGAAACGTGAGCAATACCCGGTGGGAAGGCAAACTCGGTGGGAAGGCCAACTGGACAGGAAAAAGGTCAGCAGTTGTCTGGTTGGGTCTTCTTATGCAGAACTATCTCTGAGGAGCTATCCTGTTTTTGTTTCTTGGAAAATTTCCATTTGATGCCATACATAATTTATTTAATGTTTTCTGTGGTATGAGTTAACAACAAAATATGACCCATGTACATGCTCCTAAGAATGAATTTTCAACATTATTCTTTGGCGTGAGATATTGTAATCTGTAATTTGAAAAATATCACCACTGGCTGTACATAACAAATATTTTTTTTTGTCTCCCTCCACCCCAGGTCAAACATAATTGAATTGTAGTCCCATGATGTATTTTCATCTTCATTCTTTTTCCTTCCGATAGGCTTTTTGAAATACTGAACACAGCTCCTGGACTCCTCATACAACCTTTGCAGGGATCTGAGAGCATCTCTAGTATTCTTTCAAGTTTCCAAGCCACAAAATATATTCATGTGCTAATTAATGGTACCTCAACAACTTTTACAATCTTTGTCCAATTCTTATCACCGATTTTACATGATTTAGGTCAGTGGCTCTCAAAGTGTGGTCCACTCAACACTGGACGTGTCCTGAAGACTCTTTCAGAGCATTTATGAGGCCACAACATTTTCATAATAATAAGATGTTAATTTTGTTTTTTTACTGTGTTGCTTTTTTGCACTGACAGTGCAATAGAGATGGACTACTTAGCATACATCAAAGCAATATGAGTAGTCATTCCATTCTTTAACTACCATGCACTCACACACACACACACACACACACACACACACACACACAATGTCAGTTTAACTTAATAACGTCTTTGCTGAATCAGTAAAAATTATTCATTTAAAAAAGTACTTTCCCCTGAGTATACATTTTTAAACAAAATAGGAAGAGCTCATAAAGCAATTCTGCTATGTACTAAAGTATAGATAATATTCCACTGCTGCTCGTAAGGTTTTCACTGTCAATTTTTTTATACATAAATTGCCAGGTTTTTCTTTCTAGTCTGTTTTAGTCTGGAATCTCAGCTGAAACCTGTCCACCGCGGATAACATTGATGGAATTTGAAATACTGGTAGCATTGCTTCCACACCTACCAAAATGTGAAGTACGTGAAGTATGTATCTAGAAAAATTGGAAACTGTCAAAAATGAAATCGAACACTAAAAGAGTGAAATTGAAGGCATTAGTGAGCTGAAATAGGCTGGTATTGGCCATTTTGAATCAGACCATCATATAGTCTACTATGCTGGTAATGACAAATTGAAGAGGAATGGTATCATGTTCATCATCAAAAAGAACATTTCATCCTGAAGTACAATGCTGTGAGTATAAGATAATATAGGCATATATATAGTATAGGATAATATCAATAATACAACTATCACTCAAATTTATGTACCAACCACTAATGCCAAAGATAAAGAAATTGAAAATTTTTACCAACTTCTGCAGCCTGAAATTGGTCAAACGTGATGAAGATGCATTGATAATTACTGGTAATTGGAATGTGAAGGTAAGAAACAAAGAATAGGGATCCGCAGTTGAAAATATGGCTTTGGAGGTAGAAATGATGCTGTAGATCACATGATAGATTTTGCAAGACCAATGACTTATTCATTGGAAATAACTTTTTTCTACAACATAAATGGCAACTCTACATAGACCTTGCCAGATGGAATACACAGGAATCTAATTGACTACATCTGTGGAGACAATGGAGAAGTTCATATCATCAGTAATGCCAGAGGCTGAATGTAGAACAATCATTTGCTCATATACAAATTTCAAGTTGGAGCTGAAGAAAATTAAAACAAGTCCAAAGTATAATCTCGAGTATATACCAACTCAATTTAGAGAACATTTCAGGAATAGATTTGACACATTGAGCACCAGTGACTGAAGACCAGACAAGTTGTGAGATGACATCAGGAACATCACACATGAAGAAAGCAATAGGTCGTTAAAAAGACAGGAAAGAAAAAAAAGACCAAAATGTCAGAAGAGATTCTGAAACTTATTCTAGAACATAGAGTAGCTAAAGTGAATGGAAGAAATGATTAAGTAAAGGAGCTGAACAAAAGATTTCAAAGGGTGGTTTGAGAAGACAAAATGAATTATAATAATGACACGTTGAAAGATCTGGAGTTAGAAAACCAAAAAGGAAGAAAACACTTAGTATTTCTCAAGCTGGAAGAACTGAAGGAAAAACTGAAGTATCAGATTGCAATATTGAAGGATTCTATAGGCAAAAAGGGATGGGTCAGAAGGGAACAATCCTTGGCATACTAGGTAAAGTAGAGGAGATGGATTGATACAGAGGCTGCAGTGATGGGCTCAAGCATAGCAATGACTGTGACAACAGCCCAGGACTGAACAGTATTTTATTCTGTTATACATAGTTACTATGAGTTGGAACCAACTTGATGGCACTTAACAACAACATGGGCAAAACATTGAAGGATACAGGAAGCATCAAAAGCAAATGGAAGGATGATGATAAGTTCTGGTAAGATGGCAGAATAGGCAGACAAACTACACAGATCATCTTCAACAAAGAAAAGGGGAACCAATTAACACAGATACAGAAGATAATCCTGGAGCCCTGAGCTTTGAAAGGAAGGATACAGAAGTGGACTAAACTCCAACTAGTAGAACAACCTGCATGAAAACACTGAAAAAGGAGATATATGGAGCTGTGGTCTCAGTGATCCTGATGGTATGGACAGCTTGGATATTGCCAGGTGGTGCTAGGACTTAAGAATTAACTTAAAACTCAGCCCTGATAGCCAGGGGCTGCATGGACTACACTGGTGGTTGGTGAATAAAAGGGGAAGCAGCAAGAAGGAGATGAGCTGAGCCGCGGATTTTTGGCTGTCCAGAGGGCACAGTCATTTAAAATGTTCTACCATTTTGGATATTTAAAGCGACAACATTTTCTCAGATTCCACTTCCTAGTGGCCACAAGGACATTCCTGACATGAACACTGGAAAGGTTCTAGTTTTCAACTTTTTCCTCTCTTCTATGTTCCTGGTTCCCACTTTTTTCTTCATTATTCTCCTACTTTATCTCTTTTTTCTTATTGCCCCCTCCCCAGATATTGTAGTTTTATTCTTTTCATTTTTTGGTGATTGTTCCTGTGTGTTTATACGGTGTTTTTTTTGTCTTCTTGCTTTTACTTTCTTGATGGTTTTTCAATTGGTTTTTTAGTCTGAGTGGGAGACAGCAACTCTGCCCATATAACACAACTATACCTGTACCTCCTGCAGCTCCACTTACTGAGTGAGAGCCAACATTTCCTTCTCCATCAACTGGCCAACAATAAATTACCACCAAGAAGAGCCTGACTTATCCTTAGCTTCTCTTCACAAACAGTTAACAGAGCTCTAAATACAACAATATCACAATGTCTCAGAGACAACAGACCATCACAGTCTACACAAAGAAGCAAGATAAAGCAGAAGAAATAAGGGAGAAGGATACAGACTTATAACACATCCCCGAGAAGGAAGCAACATTGGAACTCCTTGATAAGGAATTCAAAAGAATTATATTTAGGTATCTTCAAAGGATTGAGAGACAGATCATGGAAAACACTGACAAAATGAAGGAAAATACAGACAAAACCCTAGAACAATTTCAGAAGAAAATACAAGAAGAAAATGACAAAATAAATTAAATATTAGAGATGATACAAAATTTACAGATAGAAATCCAGAAGATTACTAGTAAATTTTCAGAAATAGATAATACATTGAAAGGGCAAAAGAGTAGAATTGAATCAATGGAAGACAGAATTAATGAGATTGAAGACAAATACCTGAATATTTCTTTGGAAAGGATCAATCAGAAAAATATTTAGCAAATACTAAAACAATAGCAACAAAGAAAATGATAACACAATTCATAAACATACTGAGCTCAGCACAGAAAATTATGTGGAAAAAAGAAACAAGGAAAACCATGAAAAAAACACATAACAGAATGACAGCAACAAATTCATATTTGACAAAAATTACACTGAATGTCAATGGATTAAATGTACCACTCAAGAGATGCAGAGTTGCAGTCTGGATAAGAAAACATAACCTATCAATATGCTGTCTACAAGAGACACACCTTAGAGACAAAGACAAAACAGACTAAAAGTCAAAAGTTGGAAAAAGATAAATCAAGGAAATGGCAACCAAAAAACAGCAGGATTGGCAATACTAATTTCTGATCAAATTGACTTTAACACAGAAGCCACTATAAGATATAAT